AGTAGCATCTTTGAAAAGTTAGGTAAGCATTGGTTGGGAATCCTGCACCTAAAACGTGAGTGTGGAGAGAGAAAAGAAAGTTGATATGGGCGAGAATCTCTCACCCCCAAGACGAGCCAGGCCTAGGTGGTTTTCGAAGTTCACATCTTTCAAATCAAAGTTGCCAGTGCCAAGGACACGACTTGTGAAAATGGGTGCATCGCTTCTCTCGCAATTTAGCCTTTTGTTAGCCCTCAAGTTTCAACTTTTTGGGATTGTTGTAGCCTACAACGTGATGGAACACAAACAAAAATTGTCTTTGTTAACATACATCTAAGAATGAATTTCTTATCATATTGATTTAAAATATTAGTACATGAGATGTTTTTCCCCTCTTCACATTCCCTGGCAATAATTATTAAAGGGAAATAGCTATAAAGCCCCTTACACTTCAACTGATCTGAAGAAGGGTTTGTGTTGGTAGGTCCACAATCTATTGTTTTGCGCTCATACACTAGACGTGAGTTGCCTAACCGAAAGGCTTTTATTGGTTGGTCAGGCAGAAGGAAACGCTTGTTGTGTTTTGCGCACTGCAGAAAACAGAAAAACAAAGAAACAAAAAAGATAAAAAAAGAACATATACATGTAGCAAAGCACTTCGTTGGGCTTCATAATCATTCCCATCAAGCACTATTAACTCTGCCACGACCACACAAGGGAAAAGAAAAGTATGCGCGGTTTGAGTAGCGTAACCAAGAGAGTCCGTTTAGACAAACTACACAGAAGCTATAATAGATTTTATTTGGTGTCCAACGAGTTGCAAAACAGCAAATAAAATGACGTTTCACATTTCTTTAAAAATTCTAAGCCACAATATCACGGTTACCTTTGAAAGAATATGTGTTTTCTTTGTAGACTTCCCACTTGGTCAATGAATACTACTGGATTATTTTCTGTATATGTTGGAACTATCGCCCCATTGACCCCGAATTACAAAGTTAAAAATTGAAAACCCTGGAGACGATCGTTCATGACAATACGTGTATGCAACAGCTTAATAATTGTCGCCTCGAGATCACCTAAACTAAGTGACAAAATAAAATAAGTAAACCTCCTTTGACTATCTGATACACCAATGACCAAAACGTTTTACTGGGAATTTTGCCGTCCATCGACGAGTTACTAGTTGCTAATGTAGTTAAAACTGTTTATTTCCAGAAACTTCAAAGCGGCTGTTCCGCCTTTGCAAGAGCTGAGGTAAATCAGAAGCACGTGTCTGGAACTGCTGGTGGGAACTTACTGATCACAAATTCGGTACCACTAGCTTACTAAGTAACTCTTATGCATTAGCCAGGTAATAGGCTCTACATGCAGTTTGAGCCATAAGTCGACTCGAATCCACTATAAATTGTACAGAAAACTTGACTAATTAAAATAGCATGGGCGTAAATTCAATTCTTGAGCTGCCTGCTACGATGTAAAAGGGGTAGATATCAGGAAATGTCTCCGTCAGATCACTGTCAAGCAGGTTTGACGTGTATAATGTTCGTTGAGAACATCCTTTTAAAAACAGTTTGGATAATTAGGAGAATAAGCTCCAGCAACTCGCAGCATGTCAACACTGAAATGCCAATCCAGAGTCCCAGCTGCCCTCCAATGTCTGCCACGAGGTTGACTTCCTGCCAAACCGAAATAACACTAGTGCTATGTGATTGTTGTAACTGATTATAGAGACCGATAAAACAGATACCCCACCAGCTCAACAAAGTGGCTACATGGTAGCGTAGCAGAAGTGTTAATTACAAATTCTGAAATGCTGAACGTCATTAAATTACCTTGTAGCTAACTCTCTCGACGACTCTTTCGAAATTGAGTTGCTCGAAAAATATTCTTACTTCGAGAAAGTTCTCTCTGAAAAAGAAGATTCGCAGTATAAGTAAAATAGATCGTTATTTGGCTGCTACTTAGTCTCTATATAACCAAGTGTTTTAACTTGCCTGAGGTAGTATCCAAAGTCTCCTTCTGATGTGTACACTTCTTTGTTTTGGACTTTTTGCTCAAGAATTTCCTGAATAAAATAACTCAGATGGTTTGATATTTCTACGGACAAGTAACCGTGCAACAAGTAACCATGAATTCATATCACCCAAGTTTATCCGCCCTAACCTCTTCCTTCCCATCTTTCATTTGCTTATCATTTAATTTCATCTGGTTTTGTTGTTGTTGTTGTTGTTTTTTTGTTTTTGTTTCTGTGCTTCATTCTAGTCAAACACAGAAAGCAAAAACAACTGTAATATCATTTTACTTCCTGTGGGAAGGGGGGGGGAGGGGAGGGAGGGGAAACGCGCAATGCTGTTTAATTTAAATCATGATCATCATCATGATCATCATCATCGTGCTTATCATCATTATCGTAATACCACCAATTATTCACCTCATATCCAAATGAAGGCCATTGGCTCATCGATAGCGAAGTCCTGAATATGACTTCACTGGAGAAAAAAAATACAGTAGGCTTTAGCGCAACAAGCAACAAACAAGTTAGAAATAATTTTGGCGTAGTAGACACATATAAAAAAGCACATCTCAACACAGCAGCAGCCGCAACAACAACAACAACAACAACAACTAAAACTGCAACAGTAACAGCTTTCAATTCGGTTTAGAATTTGCATTATACGGCAGTGCGGCTGCTCTTTTGCGGCAACAGGCTTCTGCCCCACGCTATCAAACCATGCTTTGCATTCTGCGCTGAATGGATCTTAGAGTAAATATGTCTTGCAACACGTATAAATGAGCTTAGTACAATGTGAAGGTAATTAATGATTTACATGTAGACAACATACGTGCATGGTGTTGGACAAGTTACTTCACAGTTCAGTTCTCCTGATAATAGATCTCGCAGTAAAACATCCAAACACTTCGCTAGAAAAATTAGACGAGAGACAGAGAAGGATAAGTTATTAGTCCACATACGATACAAGAAGGTAACGAAGGTTTAGAATGAAGAGAAAATTAGGAATATCATACAAACGAATGAGACTCTACTTGTTAAAACAACCCGAGATTTAAGAGGGAAGTTTGTAGGGGCCATTACAAAAGTTTCAGAGCGATTATTTTTTAAAGTTTTCAAGAATGAAGTAGAGTGTATTTCCTCAGACTTAAACACAAAGACGCATCCCCTTGAATTATCCATAAAAATTAACCAGAGAGTAATTACATTTCTCGATTATTAGAACTACTCCTTCTTTGTTTTGAATGTCCAGAATAAGTTAATACTTATATCCAGAATAAGTTAATACTGATATAGGTTCAAGTGGAACAACCCAACAATTTAAACTTACTGGACCCAACAAATGGAAAACTGACGCATTACGAAATTCATTCTGAAATTTAAATCAACTATGAAATATTGACCATTTTGGCATGGCGTCACGTTGGTGTTCTTTAACAGCTTAAGTTCTCTTCGTTGAAAATTCATCTCCTATTCATTTCCTATCGCATGGAAACACCAAAACGGCGCCGTTGAAACGCTCTATCGATCGACATTGTGACGAGCACAATCAATTAAAGAAATCAGTTCTCCAAAATGATTTTTCCGCCATGTCTTAGAGATGCTTTGTTCTATTTGTTGTATCTTCTTGAATACTTTCGCATAGTTTTTGATATGTATCTCTAAAACTAGCTCTAACAGAAACACAACTTTTCCTAGTTGAGACATTCATGTTTTCCAAATACATGATTATACTAGACAGACTACTCAAATCAACAGCGACAAGCAACAGGCTCAGCTTATAAAAGACCCATGTATTATATATATTGTATTGTTTTATATTACTATAATATTATACTATTACACTAACTGTAATTACCTGTAGAAGTGTTCCTTATATCACATACATCTGCGTCAGCTGGAAATTGAGCTTCTGTACATCCACATTCTGTAATCTGCTTCTTAGCAAGACATGAATTCAAACAAGCCTATTTGAGAGAAACAAGTGAATCAAGCAATCATGATTTATGTATACATCATACATAAATTAGTAAATCAATCAATTAATTTAATTTAATTAATTAAACTTTTTAGAATTAAGGCGAAGGGTGTGAGCCCTATAATTAACATAGAACACATGTATGTCTGGATGTGTGAGAACAGTGTTGAAGAAATGGCGTCCTCAAGTGCATATGGCAGGTATTGACCCGTATTTCATAAATACAGTATTTAATTCCAAAATTAAAATGATCCACCTGCTTGAGGCAATGATCGCAAAATCAACTAATAAATTAAAAACTCACAGTATGAAATGGGGCACGTACAAAAACAGTTAGATTGACAGTCTCGTGTTGTTGCTGCGCTGTATTACTATTATATCTGAAGGTGAGAAGTGAGTTAAGAGCAACTGAGGTGTACGTATGTAAATGCATGATGTACCTGTTTGTTTATAAACTATGTGTCTTTGCAAAAAAAAAATGTAAGTAACTTCAAGTCAATGAAAATTAATTAAATACAAAAAACATTTAAAAAAAGAAATAAATCCAGTCATATGCATATTAGTCATTTACAAGCACTTGCTGCCTTTGCTTTATTTACTTTCTAGCTAATTTTAATAAGTGAATGTCTCAACCAATAGAGAGATTTTAAAGCATGACGTTACGTCAAACGGCAAAAGGCAAAAATGAAACTTTTACCGTCTGTCTTCAGCTGTCTGTACAGTAGAGTGAAAATATTTTTATTTGCGGTAAATAGTACAAGACGTTTTTCAATTTTTGTGTGATTTATGACAAGAAAAGAAAAAAAAAAATCAGAGGTAATCTTTGCCGTTTGCCGTCTGCCGTAACGTCATGCTTAAACTCTCTATCCTCAAATTTTAAGTTAGGTCTGTAAACTAATTACTAATCACATTTTGGTGTACACTGTGTTATGCAATCTTAGAAGAAATTACTTCGTTTTTACAATAACCCTTATTCCAAATATTTACCTGTCTGGAGTATGTGGTATTAAACTTCTTTGCGTAGATATTATCTTTGAAGTCAGCCCCTGAAATGCAACTGCCATTGCCAAATGGGTCCACCCGCTCAATAACACTCTAGAACGAAGAATATTCGACAGGTATCAATATAACTGTGTGAGATCAGATGCTTAAAGTGCAAATAATTGTTGTACTGGAAATTTTGACCTTTAGAAGATATCTTTTCAAAATATAAATTTAATGCTCCCCCCCCCCTCCCTCCCCCACCTCATTTGAATTTATACGTGCTTTCTCAGGCATGACCCAGTAGAGAGAGCGGTGGCCTCCCACCAATCTGGGGCGGGTTCGATTTCGGCCCGTTGCCAAATGCGGGTTGAGTTTGTTGCTGGTTCACGCTTCGCTCCAAACATTTTTCTCAAGGTTCTCCGTTTTTCCTCCCTCCACAAAAAGCAACATTTTCAAATTCCAATTTGACCGGAATAGAGGGCTAGAGAACAGAGGAGGTTGATGTGGGGTTCCTCTCGATCAATTGCGTTTATCACGTGATACCTTTCGTATCGCAAATGAAGTTGAACGGCTTGGCAAAACATCGTTGCCTTCGTTGTCTGGAAATGGCATCAGTCCTTGATCGTGAATGACCACTCTTGCTCCAGCCGCGTGAGACAATTCTGAAATGTACTGTGACTGTTCTATGAACAGTTGCAACTTCAGACCTGCAGGTAGTTTAACAAACAAACGAAGGAAAGAAAGAAAACAAAAGCTTACCTTTACTTAGCTGAACATATCTGATTCCTTATGTATGGCATCGGGCCATAAAATTAGGAGGGAGGGGATGTGGGTGATTGGGTATAGGCACGAATTTTTCTTTAAATCTTTCCGTGTGCTGGAAATGTTTTTCGCGGGACGTCTGTACGCATGATATTTTTTCCTCCGTCTAACATGCCACTTTTGGCCTACTGAACGTACGTGAACTTTTTGATTTGCTAGTGGTCTTATAAATGACTTTTTGGATACAAGTATGCTTGCAACATATGTTTTTTTGTTTTTGTTTTTTTTTTTTTCTGCTCAAAATTATCCACCCTTCCCGCTCAACAGTCAAATGGTTTACCCCTAAATACTATGATGTTGTAGAGTTTACTTCTTCCAGCGGTCATTGAACTGATCACTTTTTTCTGTTGATATATTTGAAGTTGACAGCAATATTCATTGTGTTTTATTACTCAAGCTATTTTTAAATCAAAAAAGGAAAAACTTAACGTAAGGGAAAGCACGATTTAAAAATAAAATGCTTAACACGATTTCTATCCACTCATTGAGCTGTATCAGAAGAATCACTCGTTAGCTGCGCTCCTCGATCGTTCGTGCTCGGATACTGCTCAACTAATTTATACACATTTTCCATGGAGTAACCTCAATAAACCACCGATCTCACGTTACCTCCAGCAGGTCCAGTGTTGAACGAATGTAAGACTTTCTGGCTTTCACCAAAGTCGTTGATTCCACCATTAAAAGTGAAACAGTTGCCAAAGCGAAAGTCCCAGAAGGTATGCCAGTATCTTATGTAGTTACTATAAGGATAAATAACTGAAATTATTATATAACTAAGAGTTAAGTTGAATCTAGCGCGCAAGCTCGTTGATTGGCTTATGGTTAAGTGACTTCGGCGAATGCCCGGCGGGCAACATAGCAATCTTACCAACCATGAGTGCCTTTGAGGAATACTTAATTTGCACTAAACTCGAGCTATAATCACTGGTAGTTTGGTTTCCTTTGAAACATAACTAGCTGTTTTCCTCGGGAACAATGATTAACTGTATAATAGACCATGTGTTGGTATTATTTCAATGATACAACTCAGCATCGGTATGACAAAGTCAACTCTCTTAGGTTTCGAAAATTATGTTTGGTAATCATCTCTTGTTGGCAAGGAACGAAGGAGGGGACCTCAAAACAATTGGGTGAGGGGGAGAGAAAAAGAAAGGTGGAATCGTTTCGTAGGTACGACAACTAACATTAAGACCCTTGCACTTAAAATAAGAGATGAATAAACTACCTGCAATCATATCCTCTGTATGAGCAATCAAACACAAAATCTTTGAACTGATGTCCCGTCGCAAACAGCGTGGAATCATTCTCTTGTGCTACCTTGGCGAGTAGAGCTTCTTCAATCTGATATTCAAGCCCTTTGGCTTCCTCAGCTGAACTTCCAAAATAGACAGACTCCTCGTCATCGACGATATATTCCTCTCCAGAAGACTCAAAGGAGAAATCGTCTTCCCAAAAGCTCGCATTAGCTGATGTGTTGCTAGTTTGTTCATCCCAATGTGATCCATTCACTTAAAACAAAATTAAAATTGACCAAAAAAAAAAAAAAACAGTCGTCATTATGACTGTTTGTGAACCAAAGATGTATTTTTCTTGCACACGATTTGTCAAAATATATACGTCAAGTGATGATTATATAAATATTTGTCTTAATAGTATTAACTATTTTTGAACAAACTAGCCATATTATTGAACGGGTACAGAAATATATATTTTTTTTACATTTAATAGCTTAGAAAGTAGGTGTCTCCCAAAGATAGACCTTATGAATTGAATTAAAATTGTATTGAATTGAATTGTGCTAAAGTGTATATTCTACTTGTGTTGAAGTATATATTCCATATATTCTTAACCTTTCCGTTTTGCTGACCCATGGCAACTCAATTTCTAGATTGAAAAACATCCCACTTTCCCCTATGGTCTGACTATATTACCGTATGGCGTGTAAGCTTCCAGTATATCCTTTATGTAACTGTCAGGAAGCTCTCCAATTCGCAGCGTATTCATGTTGCATATGGTCACAGCGGGAAACTGAGCGCGCTGAATGTAAAATAAATTGGATTATGTTAACTAAAAACAATACTTGATAAGGTGATCCGTTTTTGTGGATAACCCTACTTTAAATAATAAAAATACTTAATGAGCTGCAATTTTTTCTGCGCGGCAGCATTTTATTTTTTGTAAAGTCTTCATGAGTTCTTTTTTACAGGATGCTCACAATTTCATTCTTCGACTTGAATAGCTGGTCTGCCACAGGATTCTTTCATAAAGAGGTTTGATATTGACGGAAGGTAGGCTCAAGATCTCAGCTAACGTACGCACATGTTTAAACTGATGAACGGTAAGTAAAGAATTAAATACTTACACTTTCATGTTCAACCTTGACCACGGTGGAAACAGGACGGCTTAAGTATATAAGAAATAAATTGTACACTTGCAGCACAAACATGGTGGACGCTCCGATGCAAAACAAGCTCCATGTCAAAAGGCTGATCATATTCTTGCCCTCTGAAAGTCGACCGAGACCATGGGCGGTTGTATAGCCACAAAATTCTCGTAGCAACCTTCTGATTGATGTAGGATTGTCTTTGACAATCGTGTCAGCACCGATGTTTCTACTGTCAATTGCTTTATCCATGTTGCTGCAAGAGTGTTGAGCTGCAAGATCCTTCTAGTCAAGTCAAGTCCACTGCCCAGTAAGACTTTGTATTAGTTGTTTACATCAGTTGTGCGACGAGTTTAACAGTGGTTATTTCCATGGCAATCTAAACAGACTTTGGCAATTAAAGGTCAACTGTTTAATAATAACGCAATGACCATAGGAAAACTGAAAGTTTTAATTATCATTTAAATCGCTTTTTTTTTCAACAATTAATTGATACCACCTGCATTCGCATTTACATTGCGCTACAACATCAAATTCAGCTCAAACTGGAGATCAAAGTGACCGTCCCAAGAATGATAAAAGTTTAAAATCAGGGCTTACATGGAAACTATAAATATACATTTAGAGGAAAATGCAACAAATGTTTGACATTCACTCTAAATTGAGGACTACACCAGATGTCCGGGGAACTCCGTTAATTGTTAACCAACTAACAAAGGTTATATCATTGTATACAGAACAGCGAGACGTCCCACTGTGATTAATCCCAAACGTAATTATCACATCTCCTTGGAGTAAAAATAATTAACTAATTGATTTGTAGAGAATTGTAGGGGTTCTATCGGAGTCAGCGTGCTTTGGAAGACAGAAACATTAGCAACTGATATACCAAAACTAATACAGAAAAAATATATGTCATTTTGTCATCATGATTATTTCGTTCAGTTATTGTTGTTGAGTTTAACTAGAGCGATTCGAAAAGAGTTAACTAAATTTGAGCAATTTTATATTTTTATCTTCACACTGTCGGCCTATTTCGTGTGCCGTTTATTGTTTCCAGAATAACAAGGACATTTTGTCAACAGTTTCTTAATATCCCTAAGCAACTAAGTCATCTATTGTATTTAAGCTATTTTATTCCATTCAAATCTACGATACCTAGTTGAAATCGCACAAGCAATAATAGAAATGGAAAATGAAAAAAAAAAATTCAATGGCAAACACAGTTGAGCCTCCCCACAAAGGCCTCGTTGGGGAGGGAGGAAAGTTGCCCTTGTAGATAGGTAGAAGTTATGGGGAAGTAAGGGTGTAAACTGACACTTTCTTTTTCCTTCTTGTTTCCCCTGGGTGAGAAATTCTCTCTTTTCCCGAAAATGCTCATTTTAGCAAATACATACGTAACACGATAAAATATATCAAGAAAACAGAAACTAAATAGAAACAGAGACCAACGACGCGCAATGCAGATCTAGATTGGCGACCTTTAACAACAAAGGAAATATATTGGATGTTGTATACACCGTTCGTCAGTCGACCATTGCCGTTGCCGAGAGGTGGCCACCGGGACCAAAAAAAGGGGCCGTTATAGAGAAGTGGCTGTTAGTGTTAGTCCAACTGAAATTTGTAAGAGATTGTAATCTCGTTTATCTAACATTAAAACTAGAGCTGGAGATTTCTATTAATTGACAGTCAATACGCCTGAAAGCCAATCAGTGAAATTAAGACTGTCAAACCTATTTTTAACACAATTCAATTTAATTTTGCTTTAGAAAACGTTTAGTTTAGTTGAGTTGGATTTTTTCTTTCTTAGCTTATCGCAGCCACTGTTGTTTTTGTTGTCGCGTTACGTTTTATAAACATAGTAAAATCCAAGAGACCAGATCCAAAAAAGGGCGGCTAATCGGAGACAAATCAAACAGAATCAAACGAAATCGATCAAGAAGACGATTAATCAAGCAATCAGCCGGTCAGTAAATCAGCCATTCAGTCAATCAGCCTTTCAGTCAATTAACCAGTCAGTCAGTCTGTCAGCCAGCCAGTCAGTCAGTTGGTTAGTCAGTCAGTCAGTCAGTCAGTCAGTCAGTCAGTCAGTCAGTCAGTCAGCCAGTCAGTCAGTCAGCTAGTTAGTCAGTCAGTCTGTCNGCAGTCAGTCAGTCAGTCAGTCAGTCAGTCAGTCAGCCAGCCAGCCAGTCAGCTAGCAAGTCAGTCAGTCGCGAGCGGTCGCTCGATCGGTCGAACAGTAAATTTAACTGTTAACGAAATTAATTGTCCCTTGTCGGTTGATGTTGTTTACAATGTATCTTTTTTTTTGTTTGTAGCTAGGTTGCTATTTTATATTTAACGGTGATGGTTGGATGAAATACATGTTATAAACGATTTTATTAAAATAGAAGATTACAAGTGTAACTACTCATCATATCATATCATATCACGTCAACCTATCAATAGGCCATTTCCGAGTTGCCTTTTGCCTCTGTGTCAAAACAAATCTAAGTACGAAACCATTCATATGAAAATGTGATCCCCCTACAGGTTCACTTTCATGCAAATCAAGGTCATTTTCATAAGAAAGGTTTTGCACGAAGGCCCGAAAATTGGCCTATTTGCCAATTACAGCTATTTATTTATTACCGATAGTGGCAGGTATAACTTCCCTTAGTGAACTTTATTTATCCACTTATGTAATTACATTGTCAAATTGACGCGAAAATTGACGCGAGACTCACCCAAAAATGGCAAAGCAGAAGATCAAACCAAGTGACCATGAAATCAAAGACAATCTTCTGATCCGGTAACACATAGCCAGCGTGTAATAGTGACACTGGATAGGTGACAGAATTCCCCCTTTAGATAATTTTAAAATTTATTAAAGAAAAAAGAAAAAAAAAGTAATGATGAAAAAGCATGTGTCTCCACATGCGTTCACGCATTTTATCTCTAATATACAATATATTGTCAGTTTCCACGTTTCAGGAAATTGCAACCGTCATTGCCAGAGGGCAATCCGGGTAGAACAGAAAATATGTTTATCAGATTTATTATTTATTATCAGTTCTTTCTTCTAGTCCAATTCCAAGATGCGATCTATTTAATAAGAGTTAGGCAACAGCAAGCTGACTATAATGTTAATGGATAACACAAAAACGTTCTGAAGACATGAATGATCATCACAGTTATATACAAAAAAATTAAAAGCGGTTGTCAAATTAAAGCTTTAAACGACATTCTGGCTTGAACAGGAAGCCATGACCTCTGCAATACCGATGCAGTCCTCTACCAACAGTGTCATCACATATGATCTTTCATGTTTTCACTTGTAAAAGAGAAGTTCCTCTGATGAACTTCTACGCGTAAGCTAGGTAGTCAGATCGGTTGTCAGATTAATTGTGTTCTTTATCAGTAAATATGTGGACCTACGGTGGCCGGTTTCTACGAGTGATTTCACCTAAGGCTGAAACAGTAATGCACATTTTTTTAAAATGCCATTTGTGAACGACCATTTTTTGCAGGCAAAAAAATGTCGTTTCCTAGACTGAAGTGTATCCAGTTGATCGACGACCGCTCAGATCTCTGGACGTTTCAAGCATCTTCATCTCATCAGATTGTAGATGGCGTTGCCTCTTAACGCACCCTTTTAAAAGGAAGATGATCTCTTTGCGGTAATTCGCATTGGTTATGGTGTAACACACCGGGTTAGCAGCACTATTGGCAAAAGTTAATATATTGCAAAATGCAACCAGTTCCCAAAAATGGGTAAACTGCTCAGCATTGCCAAAGTCCAACCATATCCACATGATGTTGGTCGGTAGGACACAAACAGCAAACAAAATTGTCACAGCAACAAGCATGCGAATTACTTTCGACGCCTCCTCATTTTGGGCGTTTTGGAGAAACTTGTTTTCCTGTGCTGACTTTTTCTTTCCTAGTTCTCTTCCAATGCTTATGTACGCAGCTCCGATGATGCTTAGAGGAACGGCATACTCCGCAACAAAGAGGGCTACTGTGTATATCTTTCTGCTGTGTTTGTTACTCCAGTGCTCATCACACCAGCCCGTTTGCTCGTCAAGGCTCAAAACACTAATGTAAGGGGACACAGGTACTATAGAGAGCAACCAGATGATTACAATCACCCATTTGGCGTTGGTGATGCTAAGCTGTCGACGGAGTGGGTGCAATATCGCCCAGTAACGCGTCAAGCTGACCGCGGTTAGTGTGAAAATCGACGCGAAAAGCGACATGGTCTGGAGTGGATAGAGGATGTTGCACATGAAAGATCCGTAAGGCCACCTGTAATTCATCTCTTGCACGGGAATGTCAAATGGGATGCAAATCAGTGTGAGCGTTAGGTCGGCGAAAGCCAGGTTCAGGATGAAATAATTTGTGACGGTCTTCATCCTCCTCTTCTTGAAAATGATAACACAAACTAAGATGTTCCCGATTGCGCTGACGAGAAAGATGATGGCGTACAGAGCGAGTTTGAAGGACTTCATGTAGACTTTAATGTTGCTTTCTGTCGATTCTTGAGTGAGGTTACCAGCTGTGGTTCTTGTAATATTCGAAAACATGTCATTCGGGGTTGAAGAAGGCATTTTTTTGTTATTTTCGATGGCCGACTACAGCGAAGAATCGCCCGAGGCTGTCAATTTGGCGGTCAGTAGGTTCTGCAACGGCAACAAATCTTCTGTAAATAAAGGTCTCACCAACAAAAAGCAAATGAAAGGATACCAAACATTATTTATGTTCTTGGAAATTTGACAAAGAACAAAGCCTCTCGCTGATAACGTTCGACTTGGAATTTACAAGAGTTGATTCTTAACGATTATCGATAAAAGTAATTTCATTTTCTATCCGCTCAAAGTAACAAGTAATTTATCGTATAAAGTGGCCAAATACAGAGCACTTAAGAGGATTTCTTCCCACTTTCTAAGCCTTAAATTAATTAGTCACCATAATTACGGCACCGCATTTAACCGCATGAGGCAAATTGCAAAATAAAGAATGCAATGGGAATCCTTTAATGATTAAATGCGGCGCTGCAGAAAGCTTCACCGGCGCCAAACAGGGTAGATGTTTCTGCGTACGTTAATTAAAAAACCGTCAGTTTTAATACACTGTTCGACTGATTTTTCTCTGAACATTCACTGTATATTTTCTTGCTGTTTTATAAGGTTTAACTGAAAGCAAAACACGTTAGAAGCTACGCCATCGCGGCAGTCATTTTAAAATCAAAATAAATAAAGCGGTCCTTAATTCTAATTAAAAATTTGCCAAAATAAACGTTGTAAATAATTTCTGAAAATTGACAACTGCGGGGATTCGCGTTAACCTAGCTAGTACAAAGATATTTAGCAGTTTATTCCAGCACTTTTGTTTAAAGAGAGACAACTTTACGCTCCTACAAAACAACCCGAAACATATATACATTTTTTGGTCAAGTTTCGATTCGGGGTAGATTTCTATATAAAACAAAGTCGTTAAAGCCGCACAGAGTTGACATCCGCAGGTATTCAAATTTAGTTTTAAGCTTGTGCTAATTTCCTGCTAGTAAATATCTACAAGAAAATTAAAATTTCAATCAAATGTATTCGATGTATGCACCTTACCCTCCGCCATAAACGGCCTTGGTTTCGGGCCATTACAGTGTTAATGAAAGCCGCATTAATGTAAAGTACTTAGATAAAAGTACTAAATGTGGTAGAAAACTGAATGTAACGTTCGAGCGATAATCGCAACTTGCACCATACATTGCCAACTATTTGAATGTTTTATTTACGAAAAAAGGAAAACCTTGAGTTTTCGTACATTTGATCTAAATAAAATATCGTTCTAAATGTGTATAATTGTCTAGAAAAGAGCAACGTTTGTTATTAGTTTCACTTAAATGTCTCTATCCAAGATTTTGAGCAAAACATAACCCCCTCAATTTAACGAAGATAAAAAACCCAAATTTGAATAATCTTTCTAAAATGAAAGACAAATTGGCAGAAACTGTCTACCCCCGAAACACCAGAATCTGATTTTATTAATTTTGTCTATAAGCTTCCATTTTAGCCAAGCCACCTGTCATAAAACCTTTATTATTTAATTCCACTGTCCGATGCTGTTATACCGGAAAGTCAGCCAGTTGACTACAAGCCGTTACCCGTGAAGCAATAAATAAAATGAATTTAAAAGGAAAGGAAAGTTTCAGTTTTTAATACTTTTTTACCAGAAAACGCTACATTCTATATCATCATGAATTTAGTCCCCTTATGAATCATTGTCTGTTTCGCTTACTAGTTTTCAAAGATTTTAATAGAAACGGAAATTCCTCGACGGTATGGTTTCGCGCATTAAGAAGTAAATTAGATCTATTTGTGCTTCATTCAGTACTTCATAAAAGTTGTTGTAATCCGGGATCTAATCCATCATCCCATTCTCTTTAATTTCCGTGCTTGGTATTAGTCTAGCTAACCGGGGCCGGCCAAACTCCTCCTGCAATAAAAGCATGTATCTATCCAACTTCACCTTTAGGTATTCGACCTGTGGTTTGGTTTTTCTGGCTTCAAAATGTTACTGAAATAATCTTACAGGCAAGTACACTCAAAACCTTGGAATTTCGAGGTGATTATCATGTAGTTTGTTACTCAGTTTCCGTTAAATTTGAACCCAACTACTAAACAACTATCTTGACATCACTTCCTTTTTTTGTGGTTAAATGTTGAAATTAGCCGGGCGTCAGTCTTGCTTTAACTGGAAGTGGTAACAATATTTTTGCCGTTTTTTCATTCACGTTCTTTTTTGTTACCACAAGACATTCAGTTGGACTTTAAATTTGACTTTAAATAAAAACACGTGACACTTCAGTACAAGGCAAAAAATCAACAAAAACCCGTGCTAAAAAGCTCCTCATTTAGTAAATTTATCAGTTCTTATCTGATTCACAAATCGAAGACGAAACATTGAGAGTAAAACGTTCAGATCAAAATACAAATGTAAAACGTATCATTCTGTTCTATAAAAACGTGCGCTTTGATAAATTTAATTTATGAAATGCAGTCACAGCGGCCTTCGATTATGAATCGTAGGGAATCTAAAAAGATACCTGAATTGAAACTGATGCCTCCCAACCGTTTATATACACATGTATTTGGTTTGAGTTAAAAATATCTCGCTTCACGCAAGGTCGTTAAATTTATGGCATTCACTGAAGAAACACATAGCTGGGATTTTTGATATTTAATAAAATAAAAACCTCCGGATATATAATTATTTTGCGAAACTAACGGCCACCACCGAACCTCATGGCTGAATATTTCTCAGTGATACTTCATTTCCAGTTAAAATGACTTACCTCGAAGGAGGACTCCCACAATTTTGGTCGTTCGACCACAATATTCTTCCCTTTGTCCTTTCAGAAAAGGCGCGTCTGCCAAATTGAAGGAATAGTCGGGAAAGCGCACGATATATTGGGAATTAAGCCACCAGAACTGGGAGTAATTTGTTTACCTAAGTTTTGGCAGCGTGAAATTAAACAACTGTGACAAAGAAAACCGCCTGCGCAAGCTAGTCAACTTGTCAGGATGAAGCGTTTACTCAAAATGTTTATTCATCATCTTTTGTCTAGAAAAACCTTAGCGCCTCAATGATTAGAAAATATGTGAGTCCATTAACTCTGTGCCAGAATCACACAACTTACGACTTGGAAACAGCACATGTATTTGTCCACTTAGAAACAAATACCGCTAAGTTAATTATATAATTTCACAGCACCAGGGCTAAGATGAATTCAAAAGGAAGTTAAATTAATACAAGCAAAGCTCGACAGAACATGATGCTGTTTTCATAAACGCCCGCCGTTTAAATTAAATTTGGTTCCATTTGCCCCTTTTTCGGCAGATGTTAGCTCCATGTTTGAAAAACTCATGTGGAAAAGCAAGCATTTAGAAAGGTGAACCTCAGAATGATATGCTCCGCGATTTCTAGTTTTTTTTTCAGTGACTAGTTTAAATGCTATAATCGTGTTCTTAACTAGAATTATCTATTTACATCCAGGGGCGTAACACTATAGACTACACAGTATTATTGAGCGACCGTGTTCCCATGAAAAGAAAATTGCTTATTTCAACATGTACAGTCAATTGAAAGAGATGAAAGAGTTCCATAGGTTATTGATACTATCTTATTTCTTCTGACATAAATAGATAGTAAGACCATGTTAGCTTCCATAAAAAGGCAAGGAGTCGCGTGGTGTATTATGTAATATCAACAATTGAGAAACTTTAGCTTCTAATTAACCCCCCAAAAATGGAAATAAGACGTACTGACATAGAAGTCGCTAAATTCATAAATCAAGGCGTTAATATGTTTTGACTTCATTAATATCTTGATCTCATTTTAATTAACTAAGAGAAACAAGGAAATAAACCTCCGCTTTTGCCGTTTAAGGGTATAGAAAATCTTGGAGCTTTATTTTCGTAGTAATTGGAAAGACAGCTAAGAAATTTTGGAAAGTCGACCAAGCATTCATTACCGAAATGGATCAGACAGTTGATGTTATAAACTTCTGGTCATCTTCGAGGAAAACAAAATTTCACTGATGATTCCTCTAGATGTAATTGGGGATGAAAGCAATCAACTACAGACGAGAATTAAATGACGCGAATTATAATATTGCATACTAATGAGGCAAGATGCGACTTCATTACTCAGTTGAGGAAATATTATCATTAATTTGCCACTCTCTCGTTATGCCATGGTTGCCCTTGGTTACGCCTGAAGCCACACTTCCGCTTTTATTTGGCTGGATATGACATCGCCACTTCCTGTTTTTAACGACAAAACTGACGGAATACACTGGAAAGTCCCCTCTGATTCTATCACCATTTACCTGTGATTCAGTATCATTATTATTTATTTATTTTTTAATCTCGTTTAATATGTTTACTTTTTCGTGGGAATTATAAGGATATACGAAAATGCGAAACATTGTATATTGAGCGACAGTAATGCAGTGAACATCTGTTGCAAGTTAGCCCTGACAGCAAATTGATGATAACTGGTTGAAATTTGGTCATTCTGAAAAAGCTTAAAAGCTAAATTACAACACGAACTTATGATGTCTCATTTGCAAAGTCAATACTTTAACTTAACAGCATCAGACATGGAAGAACCTCCGTGTAAGGTGGCCATATGTTTTATCAGTTTTTAGTTGTGACCATAAAGCCTTGTACATAATTCTTCTTAATAGCTACTGACAGTAACGTGGTAATAGTCAGTCATTCAAAACTTCGTGTTTTTTTTTTTTTTTTTTTTTTTTNTTGAGCGTAGCGCACAAAACCTATGACAGGTGAAATGCCACGAGCAACAAGGGTTCATCTATCACACTCATCTAGTTCCTTTGGTTTTTTTTCTTTTTTTTTCTGTTCATTTTATCTTATATCACTGAGCAAGCTCAATTTGCCTTAATTCTGGTAGTTAATCACTTCAATATTTGTACGGAGTTATTTCTCTGCATTACTCTTTTTACTCTTAGTTTCTTTCTCTTGCACTTATTCACACGTTATCCAATCTTATTTTCTAAGAAAACGACCACCAAGCAATCGAAATTAACTTTTCCTTTCTAAATCAATATACCTTTTTTTGTTTGGGCGGTTTGTTTTCCTATTACAAACCACGTGATAATCTCTAGAGAATTGCTCTTTTATCCATCTTAAAATTATTTATTGATATGCACACGACTATTTGAAAATTTGAAAGGAAGAATTTTGAAGAGTATCATCACATGGTCTGAATGGGGCAACAAGTCACCCAGTCGAAAAGGGTCTATTGGCGTTCGAGCGAAACATAGCCTGTTGCCTTCGCCAAAAACCAGGCGAGATCAAAAATTCAAGACAGGAACGAAAAAGATCAAACGTCCAGTCATCAGTTAAATTAATGGCTCACTGTAAGCACCTTTAGATCAGAAGAGCTGTCTAAAGGAATAATTTGGTGGCAACTCGCATTTTTTTAAAATATACAACGTGTGTTGATTCCTCTTCTTCTAGTCAGATTTGAGGATAACGCTATTAAACACGGTTTATATCAACACGCCCATTTTGTCAATACATGTACATCACTTCAGTGTTTGAATAGCTTAGTCCTTACATTTCCTTTTTTTCTCACTTTTCCTTGCAGCTAATTCACACGCAATTTACTCATAGAGTCTTAGAAACTGACTGTCAGCGATCTATGCGCATCTCGGAGATATTAGCTACATAAGCTACTCTGAAATATGAGGGTAAATAAAATAATGTATGTAAGTAATGTATGTATATATTGGAAAATTGACTTTGCTTCGTTTTTTCTTAATATTCTACCTTCGTCAAAAACCAGAAGACATCAAAAGCGCAAGAACGCACACAAGGATATCAAAAATTTGCCATCTTCATGGCTTACTTAAAGCACCACGAGCACTAGATAGGAAAAGTTGTTTAAATGGGTAATTTGGTGGCAACTCACCCTTTCTCACGAACGTTGTGTGTTGATTCTCCGTCTCCTAGTTCTGAAAATAAGACTGTTAAACATTGTCTTAACTTATTCGTTCAAATTGATACCTGTCAATTTGTTTAACTTTACAGAGGTCGTCGTTGAAGT